CCCCAAAACCCCAAAACCCCAAAACCCCAAAACCCCTTAAAGGTTCAATTACCCTACATAAGAAAATGAAAGTTTAGAAAATTTATTTATCTATAGATCTAATTATGTATCTTAAACTTTATGATAACCCTTGCAAAAACTGGTTCATTTAAGTTGCCAAACAGGAACGAACTTACCAAATTGCATTCTTTCGTAAACCTGCAACTATTTATCCTATTTTCTGAGTCTCTCTAGCTCAGGCCATACCCTTGAATTGAAAGTATTTTCATTCCTACTAAGCCCATCATCTTTTTTCTCAAGTTATAGATACTTTTGCAGAATATCAGTCTAGGAAATACCTGTTAATGTGCCAACCTTATTCTATAAATCACTTTTTACTGATTTAAAGAGTTCATTTATAGTTCTCCTTTATTTCCTGTGCTTAATGAATGTGTAAATCTAAAATTCACAGTTATTATTTAAGTAATTACCTTTGTTGATGTATAGATAAAAAATGAGATCCCGAAAATTATAAAAAGGAGATTCTCTCTAATAAAAAGTATAAAGCTCTACTTGTAAGTAAGGTAAGGTATCTCAGCGTAGAATCTAATTTTATCTTTGTTTGCTTCAACTATCTTAGTTTATTTAGCATTATTGAAGCTCATATATATTGGGTCCCAATGAATATCAAATAAATTAGTGTTCTCGTTTTCATTTAATATGGTTATTATCTTGTTGAGTAGCTGAATGCTATCAATACTGTCGAACTGCTACTAATATTTGAGATTTTTTGCAAATTATTCTAAATCAGAGAAGGTAGCCTTATCATCAATATTAGCATTAATTAATTTCTCACCCTTAAGCTTTTATAGACTTATTTGGAATTACTAAACAAATTAAAGCTTTATATGCTTACCCTTAGAATGTAGTTTGAAAATTGATAGATTTCATGATCCTCCACGCATTTTTCACCTTCTTAGATATATCCCTTTTCGCATGAGATAAATTTCCCATCTTAACATATTCCATGCACAGGACATTCTCTACAGCCTTTGTATTACCTACATAATCTATAGAGTTCATGATCGTTTCTAAATGCCTCACAACTATGAGCACTATCGATTTTAAATTTATGATCACTTGATAGAGTATTTGAACAATATGTTGGCCCTTTAACAATAAATTTCATCCCTAAAACTCCTGTCAGGATTGCGATTCCTATTATCAAGAAGAAGATAATGCAAGGATTTTAGAATAGAGAATATTGAATAATCTTCCTCATCCCACGAGGATCATCGTCAAAGTCATCATTGCTTTCATTTCTCCTTCTTTCTTTTAATATTTATTTAGGAAGTTATATCTTTTTACTCTGTCTTTGAAATGGACCATCATTTGTTAGGTTCTAAGATCTATTGAAGCTATCATTCTAAAAAGATGTACTATTTCTATGACTGCCATGTTATTTAAATCCCTCTAATTTATGACTATTACTACTATTTTAGAATACTTGATCTTAGAATTTGTTGACAGTACTTGGCTAAAAACTATTTCTTTTTTCTCTAGCATCAACACCTAGGTTGAAGTCTCTAGCCGCAGCTGATTCTTCATACACTCTTTACCTGATAAATGAAGGCCTCTCATTTTAATTTGAAAGTAAAGAATTCCTATGAGATGGTGGTTAGTATGTAAAGGGTTAGTTGCTTGATTGGTTTCTTGATAAACCTGGTTAGTTTATGTGAATTAGTCCTTAAGAAGGTTGCTAAAATGTACTCTGTCTGTTGAAACTTTAATTGTTAATTTGAGGATTTTGTTCATAAGCATCATGATAAGCACTAGATCTACTATCAGATAATTCTGCATTGCCGCTATTATTATTTAAGTTCAAATTTTAATTTCTCTCCTCAAATATCGGAGTTTGGTGATGCTATTGAATCAGATTTGAAGACTATTTCATCATTTGAGGTCCTGGATTATTATTGGATTGAGCCCAAGAACTTAGTTTAATTTAGGCTGGACCATTTGATTAAGTATGACTTTCATTTTAAAATGAATTTATATCAGCCATTGTTAGGTTCTCAATCGATTTTTTAGAGTTATTAAGTTATTTCTTAGAAGGGACATATTCATCTCTATTTATTTATTATTACTATTGAGGTACTGGCTGATTTACTTAATCAATAATGTATTGTTTTTATATCTTAGCCATTTTTGTTTTCCACTCTTAAGTTTCATCTTACTAAACTTATAGATCCTTTCCCACTTGTGATACTCTTCTCATAATAGACTCTAATTCCTTACCTCTTGGCAATTATTCAGAGCTTTCTTCTTATGAATTTCTCTTTGGTGAATTTGACATTCTAATTTGCTATTATTGCTATTGATTTAATTATTGCTATTACTGATCCTACCTTTGCTGCTAAATTTATTAGTTTTGCCTCACTTATTGAGTAGTCTGCTAGTTAGGTTGCTAATGCAAACTATTCCACCTCTCAATAGTTTCTTTGGCTTAATCTTTAGTCAATCTAGGTGCTAAAATTTGCTTATTTGTTTTTCTTGAACTCTCCAAAGACTCATTTGCTACACTTTAATTTATTGTAGCCCCAAGTTCATCCTTGTTTTAGAACCAAGATTTCCTTTATTTATTATTTAAATTTTATTATTGCTAGATCTACTGTGTAATTTAGTTCTAAAGTCTTATATTATCTTCGGATTCCTCTGAATTGGTGGCATTATTATCTAAATTTCTATTGCCATTTCTATTATCATTTTAATTCTAAAGTTATTTTTGAGTTTACGCTGTAGCATTATCATTTGCAGGTCCTTTTCCTCTCAGGAAAGCCGGTACACTCGTCTTTCTTTATTAATTATTTCCTCCAATTGTAATGTTATTGTCAGATCTTGGTTCCTAAGTATTATCTCTTTCTAGCTTTCTATGTTTGCCTGCAGCACTTGATTTGCCAATTTATTCCAATAGGGAATCATGATCATCACTTTCCTCAATATCATTTCTTCTTCTTTTTTTTGATTATTTGGCATCAGATTCTTGTTCAAGGTTTTTTTTGGCTGAAGATGTTCTTTTGACCTTTTTTTAGGCCTCTAATTGTAATTATGATTCTCTGAGCTATGATAATAGTTTATTAACGACTTAATTTTATTAATTGAATTGTTCTTACCTATTTCATAAGCTTCAAGTAAATATTTACTAAATCCGCCTTTAATAAATTCTTAATTCTGCCTGCATACTTTAGTTTGGTCAATCTTTCCTGTAGTTCCTCGATAGGTAAGCTCCAAGCCAAATCCCAATCTTTCTCATTCCAGTCCTTGTCCTCTTATTATCTTTCTCTTTTCTATAATTAAAATTATAAGGCTAAGGTTATTGTGAATCAAACTTACTTTGCTTGCTGAGTCTCTATTAGTATTCATTTTTAAATATATATTATCAATAAAATGTAATATACCATAATTTTAACACAAAGGGGTTTTGGGGTTTTGGGGTTTTGGGGTTTTGGGGTTTTGGGGTTTTGG